CTAAATTGATGTGTTCGATTAAGTTCTTTGTCAAACAAATCGAAAATCGAGAAACAAACTGTTGGACAATAAGTACGATGTTGTTCCATGTATTTGTCCGACTGATATCATGAGAACAGAGGATTATATGATCACTTATCTAAAATGGCGCTTCATAGTTCAACAGAGTTTTCGAGAGCTACGATTGCTGGTTGGTTCCTGAAGTAACATATGCAAATATAGTTATTAGACTTATCCAAGTGGGAGTATGTTGGATAAGGTGTCTAAGTCCATAACTTATTTGGTATATACTTGACCTGACCCGACATGGTCCATTTGGGTTGCATTTCATCCGAACTATTTATGGATAATTTTATGAGAGTTATACACATATGTCTATTAATATATTGTAAGTTATAATATATTAATATGAAGTTATTTAATTAGTGTTAGTCTTAAATTAATTATGAATTAATTTAGAGATTAAAAGGAAGACTAATTAAATTGTGGGCTATTATATTTTGTATAGTGTGGGCTAATATTCATTTGTTAATGGGCTAAGCTAATATGGAAGTCCATGGATGATCCATGGAGCTTTTAACCCATGGATCCTTGGAAAGGAAAATACATGGGTTATTAGGGTTTCACCCTAACCATGCACGCTATATAAGCATGCTTATGTTGCATGAAATAGCCACTAGTGAAACTAGTGTAACTAGAGTATGTGTGTTTGTGTGTGACCGATTTTATAGTGTCTATACACTCTCTCAAAGTTTTCCAAGAGTTTGTGGTGATTTGTGATTCCATTTGAGGCATTCACACTATTGCAGCTTGGCCCTCAAACTCCTTAGGAATTAAACTCATCATCAAAAGGTATGTAATCTCATCTAATTCTTTTATGTTTAAAAGTACCCCATGCCATGTTAGATAGGTTATGAACCTTGGAAAAATTATTATTTTGCATGTATTTAGACAAACATAGATCCAAGGTTTATTAGGGTTTCATGCACACTTAGGAAGTGTTAGATTGCTCAAAACCCAACACCTCCTCCCTAGCTTGGGTCTCTAACTCTATCTCTCTCTTCCGGGCATTTTCCTGAAGGTCAGCAAATGTCTGATACGTCGAGTTTGCCACAAACTCCCGTATATCCCTCCTAAAAATGCTCAGGTAGGGGCTCATATGTGCCTACTCGGAGGACACGTGCTCTGGGCAAAACATCGCCCGCTCATGGAACTTCCTCGTAATCACTGTAACATAATCAGTACCCTGCTTGAGGGTCAAAAACTCCTGGGCCAAACGCTCCCTTTCCACCTAGCGAACGTACTCATCTTGGAACATAGCAGTGAACCTCTCCTAAGTCACTACACCAAGCTCAGCAGGCGAATAATGCGCCGTTACAAACTTCCACCAATCCTTCGCTCCCAAGTGAAGCTGGTTCAGCGCGAACCGGACCCTCAAATGCTCAGGAGACGAGCAACTAAAGAAACATCCCTCTATGTCTGATATCCACCTCATCGCTGCAATCGGGTCCTGGGTCCCATCAAACTCCGGTGGTTTTATGTTGCTGAACTCCCGGAACATCAACGCATCACCACCCTGCGGTCTAGCTGCAGTGGCTGCAGCAACAGCAGCCTCAGAAAGATCAGTGTATCTCTCATCGAATGTCTCTATCACGGTTGTCTTAATAGACCCGAACATCTCTGGAATCTCGTCACGGATGGCAGCAGCCACCTCATCATGAATCATCTGGTGGAGCTCCTCGTCGCTCACACCCCCTCCAATGGTCCCTGGTCTGTTACGTGTCCCTACCATGATGACTCTCTGAAATACAACACAAGATATCAGTAATTTGCTCGGATGTACACACACCCGATATCCCAACCCTACTTGTTCTCTGGTAACCTAAGTATTCTTACTTGGGTTGCACACTGACCCGGTGCCTTCGATAGTACGGGCCCAATACTACCGACCACACCAACTCAGCATTCACACCAAGTCCTCCTCCCAGAGACCCAAATCCCAAGTATGCTATTCTCTCTAATCATGTGCTACTCACTAGCAAATCTCTCATAAGCTCCTTGCTGCTATCTCAACACTCTAAAGTATCCCTAGTAGTAAAACCCCTAGACTAAGGCATCATATATCAGGCCACTCTAGTCCTAATAAGAATACCTAGTCTTACTCTATCATGTATAGCATAGCATAACGTTTCTTTTAAAACTTATTGTAAGGTTATTTTGGGAAATCACCGTTCGGGCGCTGGCAGATCGTGCACACGTCTCTGCTCTGTTTGTTTCAAAACTCTTTTTACTCTTTTTTTTTCTTTTTTTTTTTAAAAAAAAATCACTTTATTATCAAATTTTTCCTCAAATCCACAGTTTGAGTTTAGATACGCTCAAAGATGCATCCGAATCCCTCAAACCAAAGCTCTGATACCAAATTGTAACACCATAAAATTTAAAACAATTTTTTCACATTTTAAAACAATTTTTTCACATTTTAAACACACTTTTCCAAACACATTTATCAAATAAACCCCATTGTATCATAACTTTGTTTCACAAATGTTTCCCAAGATCAAAATACATAAAAAACCATGAGTGTGTACAAATCATGCCGATGCCTTCCCGTGATCATCACTGGTACCTGAAACACATAACACATAACACTGTAAGCATAAAGCTTAGTGAGTTCCCCAAAATACCATACATAACACATACTAGCCACTCGAGGCTATAACTCTGTGGGCCCGTGGGCCCTAACTCTGTGGACCCTCTGGTCCTAACTTTGTGAACCTTCCGGTTCTAACTCTGATATACTCTGATATACACATGACATAAACCACATAGAAATAATACAGTGCAACACATCACATAATAGCATACAATAACTCTGTCACATAACTCTACTTATCACTCAAGGTAAAGTATAATGAGAAGACTCACCTCAGATGTCTCGGTAAATCTCTGACTCGGTCGAAATACACTCTAGCCTCCACCTAATCACATAAAGTAATACTCTCATAAATATAACTCTCAGTACTAGACTCAACCCTCTCTAGGCACCCTCAGAAGGGTAAAAGACCATTTTACCCCTCCTTTGGCTTAGAGGCCTTCATTGTTGACCAAACCCTAAAAGTCAACCAAAGTCAAAGGTCAACTTTGACCCGACTCGTTGAGTGCACTTGGGCAACTCGGCGAGTCCACATGTGTCCACTAACTCTTTAGTCCCGTTTGACGTGTCGAGTCCCTCCCTTTACTCGACGAGTCCCCAGTCATGAATCGCGGGGCCACCCCGACTCAACTCGCCGAGTCTCTAGAACAACTCGGCGAGCACATGCCATGCACAAACTCCATTGACCTCCTGAGGTCAGATATGTTCCTCTAATCCATAAATATGGCCTTCCGAAGCATAATAATCACGTAAAGTCCAGACCTTGACACTCATATATCATCTAGATGGTCTCATTTGGTGATTTAGCCCCAAAAATGACATTCTAAGCTTATGACTCCCAAAGTAACTCATAAAGCTCCAAGGGTTAAGGTCTCTGGACCTCTTTGAGTCCAGATCCAAATCATAAACTCGAGAAGGGACCAATTGCTCCACATAACCATCCTCAAAAGAAGTCAGAAAACCCTAAATATAAGAATCAAGACCAAAACTGAAGAAGGTCCAAATAAATACCTCAAGATGAAGTCTCTGGACTCTGAAACCACTAGAATCGCACCTCCTTTAGTCTCCTCTTGCTCTTGATCACCTTCTTCTTGCTAAACCAAAGATAGAAAGATCAAGTATAGCTTCTCCTTCCTCCCAAACGATTTAGCTCACTTAGGGTTCTCTCAAGGGATTGGTAGCCGCAATGGGAGACTATGAGTGCCCTTAAATAAGCTCTAAACTCGGGGGATTATGGTCTCATTAAACAGCGTGGACTCGCCGAGTCCAGTCGCGAACCCGGATGATAATCCGCGACCCTACTCTGCGAGTCTAAGCATCAACTCGTCGAGTTCCTTCACAAACTCCAAAAATAAAATATTAGAATAATGTACCTGGTAATCCGGATGTTACAAATTCGGTCAAGAACAAGGTAATGATTTCTAATATTCACTAACAAATCAACCTCCTGTAACAGTATGTATCAAAAACACATTCCATTAAGATGCTTTGTAATGTCTTATTGATCACCATTTCATATCCCCTCTCTAGTTTCTTTATTTTGCAATAGTTTGTACTTTGTATTAACTTTTTTATACAAAAAATTAGCACCATGGAGAAAATGCTAAAGGGATGAGATTCGTATACATTACAGATCTATTAACAAGAGAAAAAACTCACCACTTTGTCCGGTTTTTGGCTTCCTGATGACTTTAAGGAAGGCCTTTTTAGGGTTTTTGTTTTTCCTAGTTCCAGCTTTGGTTCCATAAACAACAACAATAACTTTTGTGTCACCTGATGATTGATTAAAAAGCATCATTCACATAATAAGATTAAATAATCTCGTCATGAAACAATGATTCTTTATATAAATGTAGAAAAAGTTAAAGCACACCTAGTAATATGCTGCTGATGCAAGCATATTAAAAGTATTGGCAATAAGATCTTTATTTAACTATCCAAATCCGACTATCTACTTGGTTGTTTACTATTAAATGTAGAGATTTTTCATGCTTCCTATGTCCTCCTCCTTTGATTGTAGCTTGAGATGAGAGATAGATAAAGACTGTACCCAAGAAATAAGTGTTGGTTTCCGTGTCACATCATATGAATCAGCAACTTGAGGAAATAAGTCATTTAGCACCATATTTTGTCTATCTTCAAGAAGCTCGACAACCAATTGTGCTAAAAGCTTCATTAAACTTGGAAACACCTTAACAACATAACAATAACAGATGCCATTAAAACCTTAACTTCTGATTATAAAGATAAACCAGATTAATACCTATATATCAACTACTGAGAGAAGTCTGAGAAGTAAATCTAGAAGCTTCTTACATGGCTCCAACTCATCGTATAAAGCATTCCATTAATTTGGCTCTTTTGGGAATTCACTACAAAGACTACTTGCTTTTTCCACTAGACAATGAACATAGTAAAATATACAAGGACTTCCAGCAGGAAGATACCTAACCAATGCTGTAACTCTAGATGTCATTCCTTCAAATGGTGTTACACCAGGATACCCCTAAAAATTAATTGAATTAAATAAATAATCAGTAATCAGTGAGTTTAGAACTTTATATAGTTAGATTTTGATTTGGATTTGAATACCTCTAAAGATCTCTGCATGTAATTGTAAACAAACAAGGTGATGGCCCACTGATAATCAGAAGGATAGGCTTCCTGAAATCTGCAATCTAATAGCAAGTTCATAAAGAACGGAAAGTACCTGATAACGAGAAACGACATTGAAGTGAACTGATTCGACTCGGTATTTGCCCATTCCTTTCTTCTAGGGCTACTATTGGAGAAGCTGAACATGAAATTAAAGCATTTCTCTGGTGGTACGAGGGGTGGTGAAGAAAGATGTTAGGAAGGTCGATGTTGGTGCAGCTCCGACCACTTTCGTTGAGAGATATGAACATGTTCTTGACCGCCACTGTCTCGTGCCTTTGTCTCGTGTTCGTAACCGCCACCGTCTTCCACTTCTCCCGACTCACTCTTCTGTTGTGACGATAGTTGTTCCTCAGGCGGCGATGGACGAGCTGAAGTATCAATTATCGGAGGTGAAATGAAAGGCAGAGAGAGGAAGGATGAAGAGAACGAGAGAGCGTAGAGGTTAACATGATTCATTCAATAAGTAGGTATGAATATTGTTATCCTAAAATGCTCCTGATCCATTTTAAAAACATGCTTCGTCCCTTTTTATCTTAGGTATTTACAAAAATGCAACAATTCATCTTGACCTTCCATTATTTTGATCTAACGGCCCTTGTTTGGTTCTCGGGTTCTTGGAAAACTACAGGTTTTCAAATGATCATATATATATATATATATATATATATATATATATATATATATATATAATAAAAAAACCAAACAAAGCAAGTAGCTAAGTTTGGAGTAAGTAGTACATGAAGTGTAATAAAGTTACAGAAGGAGGAAAACAAACAGAAATAAGTTTTTTTTAAAGGAGTGATGTTCCAATCCACTCGGCGTTTACAGCCCTTCCCCCGATATTTGCACCAATCAAAACTTTGAGACATGATAATGTCCACCAATCTTGTAGGAGTGATCACCTTATTTTTGAAGACTTTGTCATTTCTTGCAATCCATATATTTCATAGTGTAGCATAGATTATCATCGTGAATGTTTTCCTTTTCTTGGGACAATTCCCCTATGATGTTGCATAATCCAGAAGATCGCATATTGAGTTAATACTTGAACTTTGTGTTCCACACCATTTGAATATCAAGCCTAACACCAATTTAGAGAAATCACATTCCACCAGTAAATGCTTTACAGATTCTTCATGATGTAACATAACACATAGTTTGTGGATTGGACCGTAATGCTTCTGCTTGAAAGTGCCACGAAAATTGGGATTCGCTCCAAAACTACTCCCCAAACGAAACACTTGACCTTGAGGGGAATTTGTTTTGACCAACTAATCCAGTACCCACTAAATGATTGATTTAGTTTAGAATCAAAAAAAATTCTCATTGTGTTCACCAAATATGTGCCATCTTTAATTGGGTTAAAACAGAAACCATATTTTTCGGAAGGATTAAATTCTAAAGATCCAAATAGAAGGTAGAACTGATGATGTTCCACAACTGTTTCCTTATTCAAATTACTTTTCCATCACCACCTGAAACCATTATTGCTAATTCTTTCCATGAGCGTGCATCTTTTAGCCGTTTCCATGTGATATAGGAGAGGGAATTGGAGCTGTAAGGATGTGTTACCACACTAGACATCCTTCCAGAATAGAATTTTGCACCTCGAACCTGGCTTCAAAGAGAAAAGATTGTACGCATCCATGTTGATTTTTTGGAGGTTATTGACAGCCTTAGAAATGTTGCTCCACACACCTGTGGCATCTTTCCTTGTGAAGTAACTGTTTGGTTGTCTATCCAGAAAGCTTTGACTGAAATTTCTTTAGTACAGGTTCCTAATTCTTTCTAACAACATATTGGCACCAACAGGCACACCAAGATAGGTAAATGGGAATTGGCTCCTAAGACATCCAATAACTTGCGCCATACTCTGTAATTCCATATCTGAAATACCAATCCCAAATAGACAGGATTTGTGGAAATGTACCTTGAGACCCAAGGAAATTTGGAAGCACTTGAGAATACGTGAAATGTTTGGATGCCATTTATGTCCCAATTGCCCACAAAGATGGCATCATCCGCGTATAACAGATGCGAAATGGTTGGACCCTCATGTAGAAGCTTGATGTCGTAGATTAGAGACTTGTTGCATGCTTCCCTAGTAGCCACGTGTAGACCCTCCATCGCAAGGATGAAAAGGAATAGGGATAATGAGTCACCCTGCCTCACACCACGTGAAATAGGGAATTCTTCAGTTGGGGTACCGTTTACCAGGACTGATGCACTAGCACTGGATAAACAACCATGAATCCAGTGCCTCCATTTGCTTCCAAAGGACATTTTCTCTATCACAAAGTCTAGGAACCCCCAATTTACTATGTCAAAAGCCTTTTCGAAGTCAACTTTATAAAGGAATGCTCGTGTCTTAGATTTCTTGGCCCATGTATAAATTTCATTCATCATAAATGGACCATCGAGGATATTCCTATCATTTATATAGGATGATTGCATCTCATTTACAACATGTCCAAAGACTCCCTTCAATATATTGGCGAGAACTTTCACCACAATTTTATACATACAACCAATCAAGCTGATTGGTCTGTAATGAGATAGAGAGATGGGTTCAGAGATTTTAGGGACAAGAGTGATGAATGAGGCGTTGTATCCCTTTGAAATGTGCCTAGATGCTTCAAAGAATCTTACTGATCGGTAAATGTCATCTTTCATGGCCTTCCATTTGTGCTTAATCAGTTTGAAAGTAAAAACATTAGGCCCTGGGGCTTTTTCTATACCACACTCCCATACTGCCACCTTGCTTTCATTGTTAGAGAAAGGAACTTCCAGCAAGGTGCTTTGATCAGGTTGTAGTTTTTTGAAGAGAGGACTGATAAGTTTGGCTCTGTTTGGTTGAGGCTCATGAAATTTCTTTTAAAAGAAAGAGAAAACCCCCCATTGAAATGCATTTAGGATTTGAGGACCAAGCCCCATTTATGTTCAAACCATGAATTCTATTCTTCCGCAACTTGTTTAGCATACCATGAATGAATTTTGAATTTTCGTCCCCATCACACAACCACTTTATCTTGGCTTTTTGTTGTAGATCCAATTTGGCAAAATGTTCAAGTTCCTGAATTTCGGCTTTTGCCTCACGCCATTTATTGAGCTCGTAACTTTTGAGCATCCTAGAATCTCCAATTCTTGAGGGTGTGTTTTAAGTGCTTGAGTTTTGCCAGCATATAACTATCAGGGGACCATGTAACATCCCGGAATATCAAGAGTAGAATTGAAGGACTAAAATTGTAAATTTTGAAGGGCAACTCGGCGAGTCCATGGATGGACTCGGCGAGTAGGGTCGCGACTTTGGTCGCGTGTCAAGTGGCCTACTCGGCGAGTCCAAAGATGGACTCGGCGAGTAGGTGCTGAGTGGAGAAAACCCTAAATCCGGGGAGTGAGCCCTATTTAAAGAACATTATACCCTCTCCCCAGCCTCTTTGATCCCCCTTAAAGTCCAGAAACCCTAGAAAGTGTGATTGTGAAAGATTGGAGTGCATTTGGAGCTTAGGGAGGTGTTTGTTGAAGGAATCTTGAAGGAGAAGAGGCTTGGATCAAAGGGCTTTGTTTAGATTCGGATCTCTTGCTATTGGAGGCTTCATTTTGAGGTAATATCTCGTTCTTGGGCTGTGTTCTTCAAGATTCTTCATTTTGGGGTTGTGTGGGAAGCTTAGATTTGTGGCATCTTGAGTTTGAAGGATAGATCTGAGGTTGCTACCTCAGATCTGGAGTGGAGAAGGTCTTAAGAGCATTAAAGTCCCTGTTCTTGTGTTGTTGATGGAGCTATCTTGTCCCAAACCCCAAACCCTAGAGCAAAAATGCCTAGATCTTCTTGGATTCACGTAAAGATTGCCACTTTACGTGATGGATGGCCTTAGGAGAAGTAGATCTATGGTTTGGATCATCTGCATGGCTTGGAAAGCTTCTGTATGGATTCAGACCCGGTGGTACTCGGCGAGTCACATGGGTGGACTCGACGAGTTGCTTGAAGATGAGCTGAAACTCGATGAGTTGGATGAACAACTTGGCGAGTAGGTTGAAGATAGCCTTAGACTCAGCGAGTCTGTTCTTAGACTCGGCGAGTCTTGTCGAAGAGTCCCAATATTTTCTGGTTGAGTCAAGAATCGGTGAGTCAAGGGATGACTCGGTGAGTTGGGTGCGAGTAGACTCAGAGTTGTTGGACTCGGCGAGTCTTGGGGTGACTCGACGAGTTAAGTCGCGGTTGAGGGAAGTTCTGAGCTTGGGGACTCGGCGAGTCATCGGGTTGACTCGGCGAGTAGAGTCAGTCAGGGGTTGACTTTGACCTTGTCCAAGGGTTGACCAGTTGTCTTCCAGGGGTATTTTGGTAATTAAGGGTATTTATTGAGTTGAGTGATTGGTGTTCAGTGGAGGAGTTCGTGTCGGAGTTTGGAGCAGCGGGATCTTATCCTTTCAGCCGGCAGTTTCGAGGTGAGTTATCCTCACTATATCAACAGGGTCTAAGGCACCAAGGCCGGCCCTTTTATCGGATTGAGATCCGAGTATCTGTTGTTATGTTATTGCTTTGATATGGTTGCATCCTGATAGTTAGGATGATATTTTCTAGTGACCGGTTAGGTCGGTATCCTGTTAGAGTATGTTGTGTTTGTGATTTGCTAGATCGGTTTGCCTGAATATGAATTGTTATGTGATTGTATGTTTATGTGCACATGGTTGTTTGGATTGGAGTTGGGTTGAGGCGGGTCCTGCTTCGTGCTGTAGGCCAAGATACCCAGGGTAGACCGGTTATTCCGAAGGCCCAGCGAGCGATCCGGATAGGCTGTAGGCCCCACGAGGGCGGACCAGATGTGCCGAGGCTCGGAGAGTGGACCAGACCGACTGAAGGCCCGGGCGCGGGCGAACCAGTCATACTGTAGACTCAGAGAGTGGACCAGGTGGGTTGAAGGCCCGGTGCGGGCGGACCAACCACACTGCAGACTCGAAGGACATTATTGGACTCAGAGAGTGGACCAGGTGAGTTGAAGGCCCAGTGCGGGCGGACCAACCACACTATAGACTCGAGGGACATGATTGGACTCGGAAGGGTGGACCCGGTGGACTGAAGGCCCGACAAGGCGGACCAGTCCCACAGTAGACTCGATATGCATGGTTGTTCTGCGATTCGTTATGAGATAGCATGTTATGTGTATGGTATATGTGGTTGGTATTTTAGGGGTATCTCACTAAGCTTTCGGGCTTACAGTTGTGGTTTAATGTTTTTCAGGTTCTTCAGGAGACCGTGGCAAGGCAAAGGCGTGATCGTACCGCTCCTCATGATTTTGTAGTAATGTGATTCTGGGAATACACTAAATGATTTGTATTGAAAACCTTTTTGTAATAATTTAATGAAATCGGGTTGTTTTTGAAAAAAAAAAAAATTGGTTGGATTTTTCGGTCGTTACACACCAAAACCTTGAAAATTTTCCCAAGCACTATCAAAAACTGAATCAAAATCTTTGTTGAGAATCCAGGAGTTGAGGAAGTGGAATGGCGGGCGCCCAAAATCCAGGCTAGAAGGCTTTAGTAAAACTGGGCAGTGGTCTGAGTATTCACGTGGTAGAGCGATGACAGACATGGAGGGTTGGTTGGATATAAAGTTTTGACAAACTAGGAATCGATCTAATTTTCTCATTTTCATGCCATCATCTCGAAGATATGTATATCGTTTCCCGCCTAGACTAAATTCGTGAAGTCCAACATCAACAATGAAATTATTAAAGTCAGAGGCTGAGTATATGAAAAACCTAGAGTTTACTCTTTCACCGGGTGTTCTAACCGCATTGAAGTCGCCAAAAAATACACAGATTCCGTTCAGACCCCTCTTGAGTTCAATTAAATCCTCCCGTAACTTTCTTTTTTCCCTGATGGATTTTGGGCCATAAATGTTTACACCAACACCTCCAAGAGTTTTTGCCAGAAGAGCGCATTCTTTGTTAATCTGGAATCCCACTTCAAGTCCAACACGGATTGTGATGTTACTTCTTGAGGATTGCAATTGTTTGAGTCAGATATTAGAATCACTTTGTTGAGATCAATAGAAGCTTCATCTTTATCCAAAGTGCCAGATGTTGCAATTGGTGTCGGGGAATTTGATCCGAAAATGTTCCTGGGAGTGATGGTGGAGGATACAGGTATGCCTACCTTTCGTCGTTTACCATGAGATTCACCAACAGGGAGGTCTGGAATTTTGCTTGAAAGGGCCGGTGACTCTACCAAATTAAGTTCTGAATGGGCCTTTTTTAGTTTATTTGATTCACTAGTGCATGGGTCCGGCCCAATTGTGTTTTTCGAAGATTGGTTCACTCCCCGGGTCTCACCCATTGTTGTCTCGGAATCCACCGTATTAATGTTCCCATTTTCCCTAGGAGACTTTTCAACTTCCATATTAATGGCGGATTATAGGATTCCTATGACTGCCGTCTCCTCCACCGCATCCGGTGATGGGTTGTCGGATTCCTCATCAGCAGGGCTATCCAAGTTCATGTAGTTCAATTCAGGAGCGTGCCGAATTTCTCATTCTTCAAGATCCATGTGATGATTGTTGAACCATGTATCAGAGATGCCATCATCAGCGGAGTCTTCTGAACCATGATCTGAATCATTTTCTTAGTTCTCTCCACCTTCATCTGGGAAGTTATCATATTGAGGGGTTGCTGATATATGATAAAATGGGTGCCAGTTATAGTCATATTTGATTACCCCTGCCTTATATATGACATTATTAAACAAGCACTCGACCTCGTCATTGATACGATGGATCGTCGTGGTGAGAACACATGCAGTCGCATATGAGAGGTTCATGTTACTCCAGTTATTTCCGTCAGCTTGTAGCGTTTTCCCAAAACAATTGGCAATTGTGGTGAAATTTTCCTCATCCCGGAGTGAGATTGGGACACCATTTATTTTGATCCATGCAATTCTTTCTGAATTGGATTCATCTAGAATTCCAACTTTGAGCTATTTAAACCACCGATTCCATTGGTTGTCGTCTTTTAGGAAACTTTTTGCTTCAATTGGGATGTCAAATCTTAACGCCACCTTCATGCCCCCCGCATAGAATACTTTGCAAGTATAATTATCGTCTGTTTCGATTAGTTTGGGGATTTGTGTGAGTATTTGCAAATCAAGCACTTCAACAATCAATGTACAATGACTCCATGCCCCCATGGCCGGAACTGGTTTGAGGGAGACATGCCTCTTGGTTGAGGAAGAGATTTGTGGGGCCTTGCTTCTCACTCCCACAGCTTCGCATATGTTCAACCATTCCAATGTCCGTTTAGATTCCCATGATTCCTATTTAGGGGAGGATGAGGTTGAGCAGGAGGGTTGGATATTGTCGTCTTGCATCTGGGACCTTTTACTTGTTTCCTGTATCTTGAGACATTTACCTTCAGGATGCAGGGTCCGAGCCTTAGATTTTGCATCGATCTCTCAAGGGCAGCAGCGTCATAGATTCCTCCAAACTTTACAAACCCAAAGTATGAACCGCCTTTGTCTTTTCTTCCCTGGATATAAATATCTTCAATTCCGCCAAACTTCTTGAAAAGTTCATTAAGGTCCTGTGTGGTTGTTTCTTGGGGAAGGTTCGTGACATAGTATGAGGTAATCGCTGTAGAATTCTTCCTCCGGCTGACCTTCGTCCACCCATCATTTTCTACCTCGCGACTATCCGCCTTCCTTGGGAGCATATTAGAAACAACTCGCCTTAGTGCTAACACACACACGACAAAATTAGATACAAAACTATTAAAATCAACATTGAAATTAACTCGATTAAGATATCTCACTTTCACATTTTCGATTTCTTTTAATTTAGGTTTTTCATTTCTTATATATATATATATATATATATATATATATATATATATATATATATATATATATATATATATATATATATATATATATATATATATATATAATTCTGCTTCTAAAAACTTTATCTTCATCACCATGAAAATCAATTCACGACAGCTTGTAATTAAATCCATTGGAACTTATGTTTGGAATCAATGACAATTCTAATCATTAAACAATGATCTTTTAATTTAGGTTTTTCATTTCTTAGATTTTTTGTAATTCCGCTTCTAAAAACTTTATCTTCATCACCATGAAAATCAATTCACGACGGCTTGTAATTAAACCCGTTGGAACTTAAGTTTGGAACTAATGACAATTTTAATATTCATACAATGATATTTTAAAAATATCGAATTATTGCATATATTCCCTATAATAATGAATCACTTATTTTTTCTTTACTTGAATTCTCATACTTTTAAAAATCTATCAGTTGATGTCGACCTCTTCAACTGGATGTGATGTTAGATGTTACTTTTTAGTTGTTTATATTGTTATTATAGAATGTTTTAATGATTTTTAATGAAATCATTATTTTAAAAGAAATTTAAATGAATTTTGTTTAAAATATGTAGTTTTATCAAGTTCAATGGGGAAACTCATGAAAAAGTTAATATTGCAGGAATTAAGCCATATTTTCTATTATTATACATATTAAGATCTCTAATCCAAATCCTACATCGAACAAACAAATTTCAAAAGTAATTTTTCTCCAATCCATGCTCGCAACGAAGTTTTGTCTTCCTCACCAGTAGACAACAACAACAAGCCCCTTTATGCAACGAAGTTTGATGAAGAAATATCTAAAGTCAATACGATTGATATGGAAAAAAGGATGTTTAGATCATCGCATTTGCAACTTGAGAAAAAAAGTCTTATGGAAAAAAGGAAGTTTAGACGATTGTATTTGCAACTTGAGAAAAAAAGTCTTTGCGCATTAGCAAGAAGAGGGGACAAATATATCAACAGTTTGAGGGGTGCTCTATAGCAAAACACTGCATTTCTCTATGTTGTAACTACATGAAGAAAATGAGAGACAACAACTTGATAAACAAATTTGATGAGGTTTTGGGTAGAGTGATGAGAAAAAAAAACTGCAAGTTGCAAATTATTGGAAACTTTATTCTTAACTATAAATATTTAATGCCTTTTTGAAAACATGTTCACACTGGTTTATCTGTTAATTAAAAGTATTTAAAAAATCCTTATTTTTTTTTATTTTTGATAAATTAGATAAACAACTTAAGTGGACTTGCTAATTTAAAACAGAAAAAAGAAAATGAAAAATCAATCGGTATGTAAAGCGTGTCTAAAAAAATCTCTTTTTTTTTTTCAGCTCACTTGAACAAAAGGCGTCCCCTTTGGTCGGGTGTGGGGTGAGCTGTGTTACGACTTTGACACCGTCATTTGTATGTGAGATTCGTAAAGTCGCTTAAATATCAATCTTTCATATTCCCATTTCAATGCCAACGTTCCTCTCTCTCTCTCTCTCTCTCTCTCTCTCTCTCTCTCTCTGCATCTTCTACTCCACTGTAGCTCCATTTTCCTTATTTTACGTGGTGCAAATCAACGAAAAGATATCAAATTCTTGAATCTGTAGCTCCAAAAGTCATGTTTCGAACCAGAGTCAGCGATTCCAAAGAAATGAACACCGGCAGGGTTATCGTTGAAAAAGGATTTGTATACGAAAAGGAAACGCATCTGACAGTTATGAAAACCTCTCTGTTCTTCGCCGGCGATGGTTTCGCCGTTTACGATTCCAACGGCCAAGTCGTCTTCCGTGTTGACTCATACGGTCCAGACAATCGTGACGCAGGGGAACTCGTTCTCATGGATTCCTCCGGTCGCTGCCTCCTCACCGTTCGCCGGAAGGTATGTTAGATGTTAATTATATGCTTTTTCTCCGATTAGATTTACTTTCCATATCTCAGGAGTTTCAATAACCTATTGATTAACAGAGACCAAGTCTACATCAACGTTGGGAGGGTTTTATAGGTGAGAGGACGGAAGGTGATAAACCGATATTCAGCGTGAAGAGATCTTCGATCATCGGGAAGTCAAACATGACGGTGGAGATGTTCGGCGATCGGTCGGAGGAGTACCATATCGAAGGATGCTTCTCTCAGAGGAACTGCACGATGTATGATTCGGCGAAGGAAACAATGGCGGAGATTAGACGCAAAGTGGATGCTTCGACAAATGTGATGCTTGGAAAAGACGTATTCTCGCTCACACTGAAACCAGGTTTCGATGGTGCGTTTGCGATGGGATTGGTTCTGGTTCTTGATCAGATCAACGGTGATGATGGAGGTGTTGATTTAGACCCTACCATGGAAGAGTGCAGTTTGTCTTCTTGAGTTAAATTTTATTTGATATTAAAATTAAAATGGAAATAAAGTTTGAATTTCTCAAGTATATTCGTGGTTTTGAAAATATTGGTACCATTAAATATCAACGGTGTGGATAGGGGTCGTAACGGGTGGGTGTAGCTGATTCTACCTCAATTCTCGCTTCATTCCACGTTATACATATCGACACTAAAAATATATTTATTTATTTATGCAGTGTCCAAAATTAAATTATATTTTTTTACATACAGTTTTGATGTGGTAAAGTTGTGGGCCCGTTATAAGATCTGTGGTTATCAATTCTTATTCAATTATATCTTTTGTGGGGTTAATTCAAAAGAAATGTATAAATGCTTCTAGAATTTCTTTAAATTATATAAATAGTTTATCACACGTCTGTAAATGGTGTGCGACATGGCCGATCGAGGACTGCCCATATCATAAGGAGTCCGAATTTCATTTTATGTACACGTATATATAGGTTTAAGTTTAATATACACGTGATTTTAATGGAAATGACAACGATGCTAAAATACAAGGTGAGCTAAAATGCTGGAAATTAATGAGCTTTGGTAAATTTGTGTTTTTAGTACCAATAGTCATTTGGTATCAAACAGCTATAATTAAAGGATATGCTTGGTGAACTTGGTCAACAAACAGTTATCGTTAAAGGATACGCATCGATTTTGATGTTGCCATTAAAGAAATAAACATCTTGATTGAGTTCTTAAGATAAGTTTAGACAAAATAGGGTTCTCTAGATGATTGATGATGTTAAGAACTTTTGATTAAAACGAATATTGATCTATTGTTCCCTCAAAAATGTTTTGTTCATAAGAAAAAACAATTCGATGAGAATTCAAGTAACAAGGATGTTGTATTTTTTGCCGTGGAGATTATATATATATCATGGTTGTAAAAATTGGTTTAGGCGGCCGATTAATCGACGTCTAGGCGTTTGGCGGTCTCCAACCGCCTACGAGTAAGGACTAGAGGATAAAATAATCGGTCTTGGTCAATATCGGTCAAAATTGGTCCAAACCGGACTACATCGGTCCAACTCGGACTCAAAATTGAGCCAAATCGGTCAAGCTAACCCTAGGCTCGAAAGAACCAGCTAGCCCACCGAGTAATTAGGTTTTGATTTTTTTAAAGAAACCTAAGTCTCTTTTTTATAAGAGACAGGTGCCCTCATTTATTTTCCCACCAGCGATGTAGGATGCCAAACGTGTAATAGTTTTATACATCTTTAATTATATATATATATATATATATATATATATATATATATATATATATATATATATATATATATATATTATTGACTAAAGTTTCTCTTAAAATAAGATGTTGATACATGAAGTGACCCTCTTAATTTTGTCTACCGCAGTCAAGCTTCTTCAATGATCACATCCGAAGTCATCTAATGCTAGCGTAGTCACTTTTTCTGTACTTAGTCTACTTTTTATCTACTTTTCTATAATTCTCTCTATTGTCCAGTATGCCTTGTATGACTACTCTTAGAGAATGAACCACTTGTACTTCTTGAGTCTCTATAAATAAAGTTCACTTCTTATCAAACAAACAGATCTCTTTTACTCATCTCTAAGTCTTCATTGTCTTAAATTCTTACGCATCTCATATCTTTCTTACTCTCTAAAAATTCTCTCGAACTCAACTGAGTAATTCTTCTCTTCGGAGCAAGTCATTCGTGACTTTATCACTAAGTTTGATCTCACTCATTAACTTGGTTTGAATGCATTCCATGTTATGAATCAACTTATGTGTTTGCTTGATATATCACCTGCTGTCATTTATGTTTCATTACTTTTCCGTAACTAACTATCTAACCATTTAACATATTAACTTATTATTGTTGAGTTTTTAGATCCTCTGAGATTGACTAATTCCGCAACTATACTTGTTCTAAATTTTGTTCAAGTGTGTCTCAAGTTTTTCTCCAAACAATTGGTATCAGAGCCATAGTGGTTGCTCTTTGAAAAACGGAACTCTGATTTTTCAAAAGGCCTTCTATACCACCGAAGCTCTCTTTTCTTTAAAAAAAAAAAACAAAAATGGCACAAACACTTTCTCTAAATGTTTCCAACAGTGTTGGTGGCTCAAACCAAGCTCCAATATTGGTTGCAAATGAATATCATCACTGGTCTCAAAGAATGGAAAGATACTTAAGGAGACTTGGTAGAGATGTGTGGCAATCTGTTGAAGAAGGACCACATGTCCCTGTTCTTACACCTGTTCAAACTTATGGCGCCACAGCCAAACTAGGAGGAGGACAACCAGTCCTGAACCGTCCCACCAAGGATGATCTCGATAAAATGGAAAATGATGTTGTTGCTTTTTATGAAATCTCTTGTGGAGTTGCTCCTAACAACTTTGACATTATCATAAACTGTAAATCAGCAAAACAGATCTGGGACATTCTCAAGAACTTGTATGAAGGCTTGGAACAAGCTCAAGATAAGAAGCTCACAACCGCACTTAATGAATTCAACAACTTCAAGGCCCATGCTGGTGAAACTTTAGATGACTCCTTCAAAAGGTTCAATCTGATAGTTACTAAGTTATCAAATGCTGGCACCATCAGCAGTAACCATGAAACAAACCTTCAATTTCTCAATGGGTTAGGAAGACATTGGACTACTGCCAAAATGATAGTTCAAGGAGACAGAAAGATACATTCCCTATCTCTCTATAAGTTGTATGGAGAATTGCAAGCACAAGAATCCACCATACTCAAAGACTGTGCTGACCTCGGAGGACCACTTGCTCTTGTAGCACAAGCTCCTCACAACCAGTCTTACTCTCCCTCTTATGACACCACACCGCAGTCATACGAAGCTGATTCAAAGTATGATGATGAAGAAGAATTTCAGAAGGCTATTGCTCTAGTTAGTAAACAGTTCAACCGACTACCATATCACTCTTTTCGCAAAAATCAACAATTCAACAAACCACCATTCAATCGTAGCTTCAATCCACAAAAAAAAATAACCCTCATTATCCTAAAAATTCACACCGACAACCGGAATCTCAAAACACTCAACCAAAGGAGGTACCACAGTCTATTCAAACCCCTGACTCTGATATCCCTTCAGAAGACAACAATGTTGTTATATGTCACAAGTGCAACAAAGAGAATCATTTTGCAAAGGATTGCAAAGCCAACGTCGTGAAAGATAGAGCATCTACCTTAGAATGGCTCAAGAACTGGACGAAAAGGAAAAGGCTAGGGCATATGTGGCTCATGTTAAAAGAAACCATCAATTTTGGTTATCCGGAGATGAAGAAGAAAACATCAGCAACATCAAAGGCAAAGGCAAGATATGCATGCTAGCAATTGCTAATGATGATGGCTCTACGAAGCTGAAAAGTAACTACTGCTACTAGGGATAAGCATGGGTCGATTTGGATCGGTTTTTGGCTAAAACCAAACCAAACCGTAGAAAGTCGGTTTTTCGGTTTTTTAAACCCATATAGGTTCGGTTTTTGCATGGGTCGGTTTTTCGGTTTTCCGGCTTGGGTTTATGGGTTTTCGGTTTTAAACCGTGGGTTTATGAGCTCTTTTTTTTTTTTTCTAGTTTCTGAGTTCAAACCTAATAAAAATACGTTGCGATAAATAGTATTGTATCTACTTTAAATATATTAAAATAAATAGTACAAATTCTAGTATTATAAAAGCATAAAAGTGTTCAAAAGATCAAAGTTTAAAACCATTAACAGTTTGTTGAAAATAAACATAAAGTATTAAATAGATAAAGTCTAAAGTCTAAAACTAAAAGTTTAAATCATAATATAAATAATATATATGTGGGTCGGTTCGGTTTTTATGGGCGGTTTTAGACGTCAAAACCGAACCAAACCGTTATTTTTCGGTTTTTGTTAAATTCAAACCTAAACCTTCGGTTATTGCTTTGGTTCTGGTTTTTCGGTTTCGGTTATATCGGTTTTTTTTCGGTTTTTCGGTTTTCGGTTTGGTTTTTGCTCATCCCTAACTACTACATGGCACAAAATGGAGCTCTAAGCATCGTCGATCAGGTAAAACTCATGATCCAAACGCTAAATTATAACATGCATGACTGTCAATCGTTCATAGACAATCTTAATGACACATGTGCTGCCGTCCTTTCAGAATACAATAAAGCCTTAGATGAGAAGAACATATCGTCCCAAGAGATGTTTCATGTGAGAGGACGACTAGACAACAAAAGACTCAAAATGGCAATGTTAGAAAGAGATTTAGAGTTAGAAAAAGATGCAAGAATGTTGAGTGAAACCCAACTACAAATAGTTTTAAACCAAAGAGATTTAGCTTAGAGTGAGATTGTATGCTTAAATATTTTAATAGAAAAGTTGTTCAATGAAAGTGAAGCTATTGAAAATTTAGTTAATAATGGAACTGTGGACAATACATACAATTGGGGTTGGTCCAATGATATCCTACCGCAGAGGATTCCTCACCCCAGTTTAACAAAGATCGACCTTATGTCCCTCCGGATCGAGAATTTCATTTTCCAGTCAATGACAAAACTTTTCCCAAAGATATCAAAACACACTTCGTAGACTTCATAATCTAAGTAATAATTGTATCATTGAGGAAATTGTTCCTGAGGCTTCGGATCACACACGTGATCAACCTCTTATCTGTGGCACAATCAGTCCAAATTCTCAGACCTCATCTGTTATTGATGAAAAAATAGTCATAGAAAGTCTAGAAGTCTCACAGGACTTTCCACCCTTGTCCTCAGACCGCAATGCTTCTCACCTCTGTCATGATTCACAGAAAAACTCCAGTCCAGTCAAAACACAAACTTACGCTCGGTAGCTAAGTCTTCATTACCATAATCCACAATCAAAGGTTCTGTGACTCTTCAACCAATTCACCATGAACTACCCATAGAAAATTTTGAAGTAGGTCAATGTTTGCAAAATACTGAATTTTCAAGTTTTGATGAGTCAAGTCCTCGGTGTCAAAATTTTTCAAAGGCCTCTAGAAAACCACAGCTAAACACTTATGACTGCGGATCTCCAAAAACTTTAGCAAAAAAAGCTTTCAAAGAAGATATTCGTTCTCGAGGCACAAATAGACAAAGTTTTCCTAAAAACAAAAAACATACCAGATTTCCAAAATCTAAGAGTCAAGAAAAGTTTGTTTTTGATCTCTACTTTTCAAAAAACTCTCCAGTCAATAAACCACGCAAAAATGAATGTGCAGTTTCAACATCAATTCCTAATTCATCTGAAAAAACCCAAAAGAAAGAAAAGTCTTTTCAAAACAATGGTTTTCAAATCTATTCCTCAGATGACCCAAAATGGAAGGGTATCTTACCCACTCCAACACGTTTAAACTCACATCGAAGTTTCAACAAATGGAAATGCATTTTACCAAATCCCAAGAAAAGGTC